AAAACAAAATATTATAAAAGTTAATTAACTATATTTCACATAAAAAGCACATATTTTAATACTTTTATAGATAGTAAATAATCACAAATCTAACCTCGAGAACTTGTAAATTATTTATTATAATAATAACTATAGAACTTTAACGGTTCTTACTATCCTTGAATGTTTATTTTTAAAATTATTTATTTAGTATTTATTATATTTTTATAAACAAACATTTATACTTTATTTGTAGACATGTTCTTTATTTTAATTGTAAAATCTTCTGAATAAAATATATTGAGTTCCTAATAAATGATGATCAAAATACATATTTCAAAATATTTAAATTTACATAAAAACGTCATCAATCAATCAATACCTTTATACAATTTCTTGGGTTCGAAGGTTGTAAATTTGCAATGCCCATCTAGTTAGACTCAGTTTGCATCGATATTTGTAATGTGTGCTTAATATAGAAGTGCATTTACTAGTGGGCACTTTACTATATACAATATACATCATACCTCAATTACATTTTATGGTTATTTTTAAATTCAATAATATAAAACATTTTATATTTTAGAATATCATAACAAAAATATTATGTACAATGTACATAGACACATAGTAAACAGTTATAATTTTTATGCAGACATGCAGGTAATTCCAATTACCAATATAGCATATTACATAAATATTAATATAGTTGTATATAATAATTCTTAAAGAAAAATTAAACATCAAAATTTACATAATATTTTGTGCTCACAACTGTCGAAAATTGTACTATTATTAGGTACCTATCAATACGGCTATATGTTAACATCTCTTTTAAAATTCTTATAAAATAATTCATAAAAGAACTGTTATTGAATCTACAATTTACTTTATACTATAAATAGGCTGTTTTTTAGAGTCTAATACACAACTTGATGTATAGGTACAAATTAACAACCAGAAAGATGTTTTTAATAACCTACTATTTCAGCTCGTTTAAAGTTAAACTTAAGTAAATGCGTTTTCATATCATTATAAAAAATAATTTTTATTAAGGCTATACTGATTAGCCAATGCCAATGCTGATGTATGTTTAATATTATAAAAAAAAGATTAAGAACAGTAAAATAAATAGAATACAAAAAACCGCATACCAAAGAAAAAGATTTTTATATTATTATAAAACACATAAAAAAAAAGAAAGTGTATATTTACAGTGCCGTAGAAACCGCGGTGTGGGCGGTTCATTGCACCGGGGCCCCACGTTTCAATTTCTAACATGGGGCCCATACTTAAATAAAATATTATAAGAATTAAAAATCTATAATAATAAAAAAATTTTTTTTTTTAATAATATTATCGTAGTATAATATTAGTAATATACTAATATAATGATTATGCCGTTAGTACTTTGTTATTTTAGCACAATGGCAGCCTCAGTTTTTAAATATTTTGAATTCATGATAGATACATTATGTACAGTCGTATAGTTGYTTAATAGTTTAAATAAAAAAATAGTGGCGATTATATTAACATTCATACAGTTGCAACTTTATTAATTTGTCTAAACAAGTATTGAAGTATAATTAATTAAAGTTTTAGTTAATTATATTTGTGTTATAATTAAGAAGTAAGAATATTAATAAGTAAAAATTTAAAATTATTGCAATGCAGTTTAGTATATTATTAGGGGGGGTGGACTGGGGGGGGGGCTAAGCCTCCTACAGATCTGTGTACCATCAATTATTTAAGCACCCCTACATTTACACCCACTGTGCGYATATGTAAAGGGCCCACAGATTAAATTTTCACCGGGGCACATCTAGTTCTAGCTACGGCACTGGACTATATCATTTATTATTTGAAACAGTATCTATACAATCGTGTACAATAAACGAATTTACGAATTACCGAATTTTCGCCATCAGCTGGCTCACGTCAGAATAAAAACAACAAATAAATGCATTTCGCYTTCTGAGGTCAGTCAGTTAATAAAATAGGTAAGTATAGTACCACCTATATAATAGTTGCAATATTTGTCGTGAAAAGGGTGTATGAAAAAATTGTATTTATTAATAGAATATGTATTTATAATGTCTAAATAACTATGTTTTAATAATATTTATTTTGGTATAGCTATTGTCACTTG